CCTGATACCATGGGTTAAAGAAAATTTTATTATTAAAATTAATCACACCTGTTTCTTTTTCCTTTTTAATTGGCTACTAGAAAAATTTAAATGATGTCTGTGGCTTGTTTAATGTTTCTCTAGAACAGAGTTAAGTTACAGCTTTTAGCCTGGTGCTAGTAATTGCTCAGTATTAACCACTGTTATTGTTTCTTCTGGAATCTTCCTTCTGAAACCCTTTGCCCCAAACCTAACTGTGCCTGAGTTCCTGGGGATGGGCCAGTTCATGGTGGGGATCCCAGGGACAGGTGGGCGTCTGGAGAATCCTAACCCCAACAACAGTCACAGTCACACGTCACCATGGACACACAACCCAGACAAGATGACCCCAAACACCTGCCCGTAGAATTTAGTGATCCGGAGACCCCCTCCACTGACAGCCACACAGGTGAACTCAGGGACATGTGCCCTTCAGATAAGAACACCACCACCAGCAAACACACACAAACACACACGCTCTTCAGGTAAGAACACCACCACCAGCAAACACACACAAACACACACACGCACACATACAGACAGACACCCCTGGCAAGGTCAGAAAAAAAAAAGGTTAACAGTTGAGATTGAACCGTAGGAAATTGCCATTTTCACCAGTCAAAAGTGACCAGAGATGGGCGATTTCATTTGGTCCACCTTAATATTTGCCGAACACAAGAAAATAGAATTCTAGACCACGTGTGGCGCAAAGACAGCTCTTCTCTGCTGCTCCGGGGCACACGGACCCACACGGACTTACAGGCAGGTCGGATCTGACATGCATTCAGGCCAGACGGCACACAGACTCACAGGGCCGCTGTCGCGCACAGGAGCACACGTGCTCACAAACGCGCGGGGAGGCCTCCCGCCCGCCGCAGCCTCACGCGTGCCCACGCACACTCCAGCACGCACCTGTGTCATCGCTGCGGCTCTGGCGGCCTCTCTCCTCGCCCGCTGGCTGCTCCCGAGTCTCCCTGCTGCCCCTTGAGCTCGGGGGAGATTTGAAGAGCCGGGCGGGCGGGGGCGGGAGGAGGGGCTGACGTCAAGGCTGAGCTGGGCCAGGGGCTCTGAGGTCACGGCCCAGAGTCCGGCAGCCACACCCGCTTCCCGCCATCACCCCGCCCCCCTGTACCAGATGGACCTCCCCGTCCATCTCCCCCATCCTCGCTCCCCTTCCCTCTCCCCCCAAGCCGCGCATCACCCCCATCACTCCCACTCCTGGCCCCGTCTCTCCCCTCCATTTCTCCTGCTCTCTCTCTGCCCCCATCTCTTCCCTCTATTTCTGGACTTATCATCCATCCCTTTCGTTCTCCCCACTTCCTCTGTCTCTCCTCACACCTCTTTCCCCCTCTCTCCCCCATTTCTCTCTCTTCCCCCCAACCCCAGCCCCTCTCGCGTGCCCCCTTTATCCCCCCACCCCCAACACACAATGCCCGCCCGTCTCCTCGAATCCTTGGAATCTCTCCCATGTTGGCTCCCCCGGGGACTGGTCCCGGCCACTGGCAGACGGAATGAGATGCACACACGTGTGTGCTGCTGGGTGTGACTGTGCGTGCGCTGGTCTGGGAGGTCGCTGTCTGGAACTGGAGCTGTGAGTGAACGTCTGAACGTTCTGTGCCTGGTTGATTCCGATCCACATCCACGTGCGTGTGCATGTGTGTGTGTGTGTGTGTGTGTGTGCATGCGCGCACGGGCGCTAGCTTATGTGCCAGAGTCTGGGGAGGCGGCTGGGGCATTGGGGTTTGTCTCCCCAGCGTCTCCAGGGTGAACTCTTTGAGTTGTGGGTCAGCTGCCTCAGGGAGTCTGGGCAACTGAGTCAGAGCACAGGCTGAAGTGGAATGGGGATTACTGGGGAGTCTGAATCCCCAATTCCTAAGAACCAGAAGACTCATACATGTTGTTGTTTCCATGCCCTTGTTTTCATGATTTAAAAAAAAAAAGTCTCTGGAGGTGATGGAATTCCAGTTGAGCTATTTCAAATCCTGAAAGATGATGCTGTGAAAGTGCTGCACTCAATATGTCAGCAAACTTGGAAAACTCAGCAGTGGCCACAGGACTGGAAAAGGTCAGTTTTCATTCCAATCCCAAAGAAAGGCAATGCCAAAGAATGCTCAAACTACCGCACAATTGCACTCATCTCACACACTAGTAAAGTAATGCACAAAATTCTCCAAGCCAGGCTTCAGCAGTACGTGAACAGTGAACTTCCAGATGTTCAAGCCTGCTTTTAGAAAAGGCAGAGGAACCAGAGATCAAATTTTCAACATCTGATGGATCACTGAAAAAGCAAGAACATTCCAGAAAAACATCTATTTCAGCTTTATTGACTATGCTAAAGCCTTTGACTGTGTGGATCACAATAAACTGTGGAAAATTCTGAAAGAGATGGGAATACCAGACCACCTGACCTGTCTCTTGAGAAACCTGTATGTAGGTCAGGAAGCAACAGTTAGAACTGGACAGGGAAAAACAGACTGGTTCCAAATAGGAAAAGGAGTACGTCAAGCCTGTATACTGTCACCCTGCTTATTTAACTTATATGCAGAGTACATCATGAGAAACGGTGGGCTGGATGAAGCACAAGCTGGAATCAAGATTGCCAGGAGAAATATTGATAACCTCAGATATGCAGATGACACCACCCTTCTGGCAGAAAGTGAAGAAGAACTAAAGAGCCTCTCGATGAAAGTGAAAGAGGAGAGTGAAAAGGTTGGCTTAAAGCTCAACATGCAGAAAACTAAGATCATAGCATCCAGTCCCATCACTTTATGGCAAATAGATGGGGAAACAGTGGAAACAGTGCGAAACTTTATTTTTGGGGGCTCCAAAATCACTGCAGATGGTGACTGCAGCCATGAAATTAAAAGACGCTTACTCCTTGGAAGGAAAGTTATGACCAACCTAGACAGCATATTAAAAAGCAGAGACATTACTTTGCCAACAAAGGTTCATCTAGTCAAGGCTATGGTTTTTCCAGTGGTCATGTATGGATGTGAGAGTTGGACTATAAAGAAAGCTGAGCACCAAAGAATTGATGCTTTTGAACTGTGGTGTTGGAGAAGACTCTTGAGAGTCCCTTGGACTGCAAGGAGATCCAACCAGTCCGTCCCAAAGGAGATCAGTCCTGGGTGTTCATTGGAAGGACTGATGTTGAAGCTGAAACTCCAATACTTTGGCCACCTGATACGAAGAGCTGACTCATTTGAATATACCTTGATGCTGGGAAAGATTGAGGGCAGGAGGAGAAGGGGATGAAAGAGGATGAGATGGTTGGATGGCATCACCGACTCGATGGACATGGGTTTGAGTAAACTCTGGCAGTTGGTGATGGACAGGGAGGCCTGGCGTGCTGTGGTCCATGAGCTCGCAAAGTTGGACAGGACTGAGTGACTGAACTGAACTGAATTCTCTCTGCTCCTCTTAGAATGAACGGCTAACATCTCTCTGTCACCCTGATTATGTTTCTGTGTGCCTGACCATCTCCTGTCTGTTTATATCTGTCTTTCTCTAAATCTCACACTTTGTCTCTCTCTCCCTGGCTTTGTTTCTCTGTCCATCTCTCTGTCTGATTCTTTCTCTCTGTGTTCCAGTCTCTCCCTATGGCTCCCTCTGTGTATGTGTGTGTGTCCATTTCTACCTGCTTTCCTCTGGGTTTGCGTCTTTCTGTCTCTTAATTTCTGACTCTGCACCTCCTGACTTCTTCATTCTATTGTCTCTCTTTCTTATCCTTTTTCTCTCTTTCTCTCTTCCTCATTCTCTGTGGGTTTCTCTCTGCTGCTGTCTCTCCTTGCGTAAATCCATCTCCTTCTCTCTGATTCTGTCTGGATCCTTAACTCTTTCTTTTTTCCTGTCTCCCAGGTTTTGTTTCTGTTTCTCCCGGATTCTCTCAGTGGCTGCCTGTTTCTCCTTTCTCTGTGTCCGTGCGTCTGTCCGTCTGTTTGTTTGTGCATCTGGGTGTGTGTGTGTCTGCTCTCTAAGTCTCTCTGCATCTCTGTATCTCCGAGGCTCTGAGTGTGTCTCTCTCTCTGACTCATGCTCTCTTTCTCACACTGTTTGTCTCTGTTTTTCTGTCTCCAGGTCCTGGTCCTCCTATCTCCCTGCTAATCCATCTCTCCCCGCCTGTTCTGGCGCTTTCCCCTGCAAGGTGCCAAGTTCTCACTCCCTGAGTTTCCCAGGACAGGCAGGGTGTGGGGGAGCCCCGGCCAGGTTGGGCCTCTGCTTGAGCCTGGCTGTCAGGGAGAAGAAGGCTACTTCAGGCCCCAAGTCAGGGGTACCCCGCCCCTCACCAGGGCAGGGCGTGGTTGCCGGGAGCCCGGCCGCCGCCAGACACCAGGGTGATGGGTCCTCCGGTGGGAGCCCAGCCCAGAGCACGAGGGAGGCTGGGGGGAGCCCGGGCTCCACTCAGAAGCCGGGCATTTGGCTGCCCAGCCCCCACCCCGCCCTGCCCGGGTGGAGCAGCTGTATAAAACCAGATGTTTCTAAAACCAGAATGCGGATGAGGAAGGAGGGACCAGGACTTTAAACTCAATGGTGTCTTTCTCCAGGACCCAGGATTTGGGGCCCCCAGCCCCCAGCCCCTCCTCCCTCAGACCCAGAGGTCCAGACCCTCAGCCCCTTCTTCCTCAGACTCAGGGGTCCAGGACCCCAGCCTTCTCCTCCCTTGGGATCCAAGAGTTCAGGACCCTAATGCTCTCCTCCTTCAGACCTAAATGGCCAGTCTCCCAGAATTCCTTGCAGGGAGACATGACCAAGGCTGGAAACAGCCAAGACAAGAGCTAAAATTGACAAGGACAGATAAAACGGGCACTTGCAGAGGAGGCAGTGGCTGGTAGTGGCAGGACCACCCCCTGCTCCCCTCACTAAGAGCCATCTCTCCCAGAATCCTCCACTCCAATGGCGGCCCTCAGGTCCCTGCCCTGGGTCCACAGTGACCCTCCCAAGATTTCCATCATCATCGAAAAACTCAGGGTGTGGTTTACAGAATGCAGGATGGAAAGAACGAAAGCGGGGAGACCGTAAGGCCGCAGCGGAGAAAAGGCAGCAGGAAGGGCATGTGCTCACTGGAGGGACGTCTCCTGTGCCCCCAGCTCCTGGTGGGGCTGGGCTCTCAGCTGGGCGATGCCTGGCACACAGAAATGACTCAGACCTGGGCCCTGCCCTTGCGGAGATGCCAGTCTGGTGGAGGAGACAGCTGTGTAAACAGAGGATCACAGACCAGTGCAAGCAAGGATGCACGAACCCAGCGGGAGAGTCAGGGAGGGCTCCCTGGAGGAGGTGATATCCTGGAGGAGCCGAGCCCTTGAGTGTGGAGGAGTTAGGGTAAGGGCAGCTGGGGGTTGAAAGATGGAACAAGAAGGGCATCTGAGGCAAGGAATGTCCTAGACAGTCAGGAAAGTACTGGGAGTTGATGTTGTGGAAGCTGAAAGGATGAAGCACAAGGGTGGGTGTATAACACAGTCCACCCCGGGCAGGGTTTTGAATGCCAGCTTCAGAGGCTGGGACTTTGTCCTGGGTGCTGGGGAGCCAGGGGAGGGACAGGGTCCGCTCCGGGTGCCTGAGGGGGACACAGGCAATGGAGAGACTAGGGGCGTTTGGCCAGGGTGTGTGCGTGGCTGGTTCACGTCAGCATCTTCTCTGGGAGGAAAAGAGCACGGAATGTGAGCTGGGATGCAGGCAGCAGCCGCGGGTCTGGGGGAGCATCGGGGACCTGCGGAGCTGGAGGAGCAGAGGCCAGAGGGGAGGCCCTGAGGGTGGGTGAGAGAGGGAGGCAGACAGCAGGGGTGGGGGGGCGACACTGACCCTTTGAGTCTGTGCGCCTTCTTTGTTTTTCGCATATTTTTTAATTAAAAATCTAGCATTCTATTCATACGAAGTCAAACAAGTGGAATCAAATGTCATAAATTTTTTTGTTAGGTAAAATTTCATAAGTTTTCTAACATACATATATTATACATATTATTTATATATATGGACACAAAAACTTTTCTACTGCATAAAGGCTTGAGAAACAACATCAAAAAAAAAGGGAAGAGACGGAGAAGTTGGAAAACATTAAATGAGATGGGAGCACTGAATAAAAAATAGAAAAAGTGAAACAAACTAGATAAAAGTAAATGATCATCATCTAGTCCAGTTGTTTTTAAACAAGACTGCTCATTAGAAATATATTTCGTGAGCCCCTTCTTTGAAACTTTTTCTTAAATTTTAATAGTTTGGTCACACTGCAGGGCATGTGGGATCTTAGTGGATCTTAGTTCCCCTGTGCCCCCCCCACCCCCCCACCACCCCCCACCCCCCACCCCCCGCCCCGGCATTGGCAGCTCAGAGTCTTAACCACTGAACCACCAGGGAAGTCCTCCTTCTGACTACATTTGCCTCCTTTCAGAACTAGGGAGGGTGCCGGGCCTAGGGAGGTAACTCGAAGAAGTGTGTTTGGTTAAATGCTTGAGTCCAGGCAAATGACTTCTCTGCAAGGAGTCCTGGGTGGGAGCGAAGTGCTTTGGGAGAATTTAGACACTGAGAGTCAGAGGAGAAAGGAAGAGAGGGAGGGGGAGGGGAGGGGGAGGACCGGAGGGAGGAGGAGTCGGGAGGAGGGGAGGGAGGAGGGAGGAGGGAGGAGGGGAGGGAGGCTGGTTAGCCTGACCACCCTATTTAATACGGAAAGCTGTCCCACTCTGGAACTCCTGAATCTCACTAACCTCTAACTCTCTTTTTTCCCACAGCATATACTTCTATATAAAGCATAACCTGTCCATGGAGTCTCTTTCCTGTATAACCTGCATCTCCCTTGTTGGGATGCCAGCTGCTCATAGATGGCCATCTTCTCGTCGTTGCTGACACCGTTTTCTCAGGTCTGGACTGCTACCTGTTGCGTAGCAGGTGTTGAATGGATAAATACGGGGTGAATGAGTGAGTGAGACTGGGATGGAGAGTCAGAATGGTGGGTGGAGACAGGAAAGAGGAAGAAGACAGAATTCCCTGGTGGCCCAGTGGTTAGGCCTTCCTGCTTTCACGGCCAAGGGCTGGAGTTCCACCCCTGGTTGGGCAACTAAGATGCTGCATCGCACAAGCCTCTGGGTGCTGTCAAAGAAATAAAAATTTAAAAGGGAAGAGAAAGAAGAGGAGGAAAAGGGGGAAGGGGACAGGAGGGAAGGAGAGGAGGGAAAAGGGAGGGGGACGGAGGGGGAGGGGGTAAGGAGGAGGAGGGCAGAGGAGGAGTGGGGGGAGATGGGAAAGTGGGGAGTTGGTGGGGAGAAAGCCCAGAGCTGAGGACCCCCAACTACCCACAGCTCTGGAGGGACGGGAGGAGGTGTTTCCAGGAAGGTGGGACCCTGGACGAGCCTTCCCAGGATGAGTGAGGATCCGAATCCGGAAGCAGATGGCTTTCCAGGAATTCCAGGGCTGGGTCCCAGCGCTCTGAGCTGAGCCCTAGACAGGCTGCAGCTGATTCAGCTGGCCATTCCTCCCGCTCAGTCGCGTTCTGGGAAACACCTAAGCCTCCAAATTCTGCCGAAATCAATGCCTAGGCCTCCAGATTCTGCAGAAATCCTGGGAGGGGGGAGGGGAGGGCAGGGCAGAGGGAAGGGGGTGATGGCTGCAGGTCCGCCCTCCACCCTTGGGAGAAGCTGGGGGGCCTCTGAGGCCGGAGGAGAGGGCCGCCCGGTCAGCCTGTAACCCTCCCTCCAGCTGCAGACAGCTTGTCTCTGCTCCAACCCTTCTCCCTGAGGGAGACAGACAGACAGGGCCAGGCTTCCCAGGTCAGCAGTGCTCTCCTCTTCCAGGAAAACAAGAGAGGAGTCTCATCTTGAGAGATGGGAGACTGAGGCCTGGGAGGAGCTGTTTCCTGGTCAGAGGGATGCAGCCTGGGGACAGCAGAGACCGGTGGACAGGCCACCCGGAGGGAGGACTGGAGGGAGGAGGGGCTGGGGACTGGACCCCTGGGACTGAGGGAGGAGGAGCTGGGGGAGGAGGACTCCTGGGTCTGAGGGAGGAGGAGATGGGGACCTGGACTCCTGGGTCTGAGGGAGGAGGGGCTGGAGGAGGAGGACTCCTGGGTCTGAGGGAGGAGGGGCTGGGGGCCTGGGATCCTGGGTCTGAGGAAGGAGGGGCTGGGGGAGGAGGACTCCTGGGTCTGAGGGAGGAAGGGCTGGGGGAGGAGGACTCCTGGGTCTGAGGGAGGAAGGGCTGGGGGAGGAGGACTCCTGGGTCTGAGGGAGGAGGGGCTGGGGGCCTGGGATCCTGGGTCTGAGGGAGGAGGGGCTGGGGGAGGAGGACTCCTGGGTGTGAGGGAGGAGGGGCTGGGGGCCTGGGATCCTGGGTCTGAGGAAGGAGGGGCTGGGGGAGGAGGACTCCTGGGTCTGAGGGAGGAAGGGCTGGGGGAGGAGGACTCCTGGGTCTGAGGGAGGAAGGACTGGGGGAGGAGGACTCCTGGGTCTGAGGGAGGAGGGGCTGGGGGCCTGGAATCCTGGGTCTGAGGGAGGAGGGGCTGGGGGAGGAGGACTCCTGGGTCTGAGGGAGGAGGGGTTGGGGGAGGAGGACTCCGGGTCTGAGGGAGGAGAGGCTGGGGGTCTGGGCTCCTGGGTCTGAGGGACAAGGCAGTGAGGAGCTGCACTCCTGAGTGCTGAAGAGGAGGCCCGGACCCTGGCCCTTCGAGTCCACCACCTTCTGAGCTCTGACAGCACTGTTGGAGCCCCAGGTCACTCTGCACATATGACTTTGGTTCTGTGCCTCCCCGGCTCCCTTCCCAAGCAAAGTTCTCGTTGTCCACGTTGAGTCCTGGCTGTGCCTCCACACAGACCAGGGCCTGAAGAGCCTCCCAGGAGAGAAACACAATGATTGGAGTCAGAAGACAGGCTGATGGGGACCAGGAGGGACCGCCTGGGCCCCCCAGGTGGGAGCCGGCCACTTGTGTGTTCTGGAGTCCCTGAGCCTCTCGTTCTGCCTCTGTAAAATGGAACCATCTCAAGTTGCCCCTTGTGCTTCCCTCACGGCTCAGGGGTAAAGAGTCTGCCTGCAACACAGGAGACGAAAGAGACGCGGGTTCCAGCCAACCCTGGAGAAGGAAACGGCAACGCACTCCAGTATTCTTGCCTGGAGAATCCCATGGACAGAGGAGCCTGGCAGGCTACAGGCTATGGGGTTGCAAACAAGTTGTCCCTCATGGGCAGTGCTACAGGTTAGGAGAGAGCATATGCACCTCGAGCTGGAATTAATTGGAGGTGAGTTTTAGTTGTTCCTGAGCCAGCCGCAGCTGAGGGTCTGCATGACTGCCTCAGCCTGCCACAGGCAGGCCCCCGACCTTCCCCCGGCAACCTCGGCACAGACCTGGGGACCACACCAGCTGACGGAAGGCACCCAAAGCTCAGAACCAGAAACCTGCTCTAACGTCTGCTCTTATCATCCATCCAAGGGTCCTGCAGAGTGGTCTAGGGGCCTCAGAGCATCTGCTGTGTGCATTTGCTAAAAATACAGATTTCTGGGTCCTGCTCCCATATATTCTGACTCAGTGAGCTCAGGACCCTGCAAATGACTCAAACATATGCCCCATAGAGTCCCTAGGACTGCAAGGAGATCCAACCAGTCCATCCTAAAGGAAATCAATCCTGAATATTCATTGGAAGGACTGATGCTGAAGCTGAAACTCCAATACTTTGGCCACCTCTAATGGTAAGAGCCAACTCATTGGAAAAGACCCTGATGCTGGGAAAGAGAGAATGCAGGAGGAGAAGGGGCCGACAGAGGATGAGATGGTTGGATGGCATCACTGACTCAATGGACTTGAGTTTGAGCAAAGACAATGAAGGACAGGGAAGCCTGGCGTGCTGCAGTCCATGGGGTTGTAACAAGTCTGACATGACTTAGTGACTGAGCAACAAAACACCAGGGTGTTCCCTGGTGACCTAATGGTTAGGATTCTAGGCTCTCACTGCTGTGACCTGGGTTCAATCCCTAGTTGGGGAACTGAAAGCCTGTAAGCTATGCAGTGTGGCCAAAACAAAAAACAAAAAACAAAACCTCCTACATGGTTCTTAGACACTGTGAAGTTTGAGAACCATCTGACAAGGGAAAAAGTGACTTCTGAAGTGGCATTACCCCTGCACCCTCCCCAGGCTCTTGTTTCATGCTTAGCATTGATCTATGTGCTTGCCCTCATTTAGCTCCTTTGAAAACCTTTTGAAGCAAGTATTATAATCCTCATTTTACTAATAAAGAAACTAAGGTCTCGATACACTCAGTGTTCTGCAGAGAGCTGGAGGTCCCAAGCCCAGAAACTGCCTTAAATGAGCTCCCAAACTCGTGGATA